TTTTTCGTTTATTGTGAAATCATTAAAGTTAAGCAAGAATAGTTTCATATAAAGCATCAGTGAATTTCATTAAATATTCAAAATGTAACTTTTTCAGAAGTTTAAAAAAAAGCATTTCAATACCGATCAACAATAAGTTCCCCTATCATCCCCTATTAAATCGTAAGATTTTTTTTATTATTAACATTTATTATAACATTGTACATGTAACCATGATCTATAATTTATGTTACTTATTTTAGGAAATAAAGCTTTTGTTATCGATTTTCTTGAGACGGGACAATTCTGTTATGTGTATTGCTACGGCCGACTGGGATATAAGAGTCTGGGGGAAATAAATATCCCCCACCAGAATCTCAACGGGCCTTTTATTCAAATTTGTCTGGTGTGTTGCTGTGATCTGTCAACAAATCTTTATTTTTCTCTCATTTTTTCTTTTTTAGATTTAATTTAGTTTTTATATGTAATCAAAATTACTTTAGTGACCGGCAATGTATGGGGGTTGAACTGAGATTGCAGTATTGTAGAGCAATTTTTTAGGATTGATTTGAGACATATAAAACGTTTTAAAGATCTAAAATTACGCAGTTTGAGCGCGAAGTCGACGCTCAAAATTGTCAATTTGGATGGGTACGTTTTGAGAATCTTTTTTTTTATTATTAGATAACGACGACAAAAAATGTAGCAAACATTCTACAGTAAACTAATTAGTTGTTTATTAACAGGTTGAGAAAATAAAAATTAAATCTTATCGTCGAAAATAAGTAATCTTATTCAATTATTAGTTTTTATAATCTGTCATTTCACAGAATATTTTCTGCAGATTTTCTGGAATTTTATTGAAAGACAACATTTGAAGAATTTGTAGAAATCTGCGAACAAAATCATAGAAAATAAGAAATTCAATATAATGATGAAAAGGAAATAATTGATTCTAACATTGATTTATTGACAAATTTCTTTTAAGAAATGTGTTCCAAGACATCTAATTAGTTTACTATAGAATTTTTACAATATTTTTGTCGCCGTTATCTAATTATTAAAATAAAGATTCTCAAAACGACTCAATTGACGACTATGCGCTCAAACTTAGTAATTATTGATCTTTAAAACGTGTTATATGTCTCAAATGAATCTTAAAAAATGCTCTACAATACTGCAATCTCAGTTCAACCATCATACATTGACGGTCACTCCCTTTAAAGTAAATTTGATTGCATTGCCGGTCACTCCCTTTAAAGAACGTTAAAATTCATACAGTGCCCAAATATATTTAATTTAATATTGATTTCTAGCTTTGAACTCTCCAAGTCGCTATGTTTTAACTCTTTTACAAATTTTCACGTTTTTATTGTTTAAATTGGTGCATTTTTTGGACATTTTTTCAACTTCGACCAGCCATAAGCCTTCCCTGGGGTTGTGTGAGTTGACTCAAAAGTTTTGGACTCGCGCGGTTCCGCCGTTTTTACATTTATTGGGCACTAACAGACAAACAACCAGACAAGCAAAGTATATATATAGAAGATACATTGATGTACAGGGTGTCCCATATCATCTTGATTAAACTACTCGTATTGATTAAGATAGATGTCTACAAATACAGATGTACTTACTCATTTCTTTGAAATAAATATATCTATCTCTTGAGTTCCTTTATTATAGTTATTTCCCAAAAAACCTGGTAAGCGTATCTACCTTAATCAAAGTAATAAAGAAAACATTTCCAGTAAATAATTAATTTTTGTGAAACACTTTTAACATTAAAAAAACCCTAATTGTCTCAAAACCACAATTATTTATAACCAGTATAAAGCGTAACAAAAGTCGTCTTTATTACATTAAATCTTTAGTTAGAAACGTCGCTATGGATGCTGGAATCTGTAACTATTAAAACTTTGAAATTGTTAGAATTTCCCTGATTATATTTTTTTAACCATTTAAACCATCCTGTTGTGTAAAATCCTCTTTAAAATTCGAAGTATAAATGTCGATTAATTTATTTTATTTCGTTTGTGATTTTTTTCCACTGGTAATTTTAAATAAAACCCTCAAGATGTTATTTTTTAATTTTCATTTATTTATAAATATTTAACTGCTTTGATTATTATATCCATATTCATCTTAACGAAAAAATTGCATAAATGACAACATTTTGCTTGCAAATGTTTGTAGTTTAAGAAAAAAAAATTTATGAATTTCTTGATCGTCTCTCTTGTCGATTAGTTGGTTTCAATAAAATCTTAAAAGTTTTTAAATATTCGTCTGCCCAAACACTGATTTTCTAATCCCTATATGGTGTAAACTTTGATATTTCAAATTTAATGTTGAGTTTTGTCTTTTTAAAGTTTGATTAAAAAAGAATGATTGTCTGTTCATACAACTTCCTTGTTAATATTGTTGTATTCCGGATTGTTTGATATATGAGTGAACAGTCCCTTGAATCCAACAGGAAGCCAGATGGATCAGTTATAAGCAATTTAAATTTGCTTCTCAGGAAACATTGGATACATGGATTTTCTCTCAGATTAAACGTCACGACTATGGACGTCGTTTTCTGCAAGTATTGGACGATTTTTAATAATTACGCGGAATTATGACTGTGTCTTCTATTTATGTAAAGTAGTAATCTTTTATGCTAAATCATAACCACTGGACCGATTTGCCTAAAGTTGTTTTTGTGGGTTGACCTTTAAGAGAAAGTTGATTTATACGGTATGANAGGTGGTTCAAAATATAGGTGGTTCAAAATATAGGTGGTTCAAAATATAGGTGGTTCAAAATATAGGTTGTACGATATTGAATAATACATAGAAAAGTATTTGATAAAAAGCAAGCAAACTTTTTCAAGTTTTGCATGTTTGGAAAATATTTCAGAAAATCCACATACGTAGGACTAGAGTGGAATTGAATTCGAACTGGACCGACTCCCTGTAATGTACGGTTCTGACTGACATGTGAAAAGTAAGGGACTCGCTTTCGGACCACCGAAGCGAGAGGTTCTCTTCTGGCAAGCTCCGAGCTCACCAACAAGAAGAATGTGAAATACGCGGCTTCGGGGCCTGATGCAGATGTTGGGCCCAGTTCCGAGATCGGAGAGTACTCTGAGATCGGGAATTTTCCGAGATAGGGTTTTTTCCTCCGGCTTTGCACACATGCTGAAGCCCAGGGGGTACATACCAGTATCCCTAATGGGGCCATAGGCGTGTGCACTTCGGAAACAAGAACTGAACCCACGCCTATCGGCCACCATAAAAAATATACAAGTGATATACAACCAACAAGTGATAGGAAAATATCTTCCTTTAAAATACTCCATACCTCTGCTAAAGACATACACAAAAGTACTTTCAAAAATAAAATTAATAGTGACATTAACACATATATCAAGAGTGATACTCCAAGCAGGAAAAATACCCAAAGATGGATCTTTACATGAGATCGGAACTCTACCCGAGATCGGAACTCTACAGGAGATCGGAACTCTACACAAGATCAGAACTCTACCCGAGATCGGAACTCTACCCGAGATCGGAACTCTACCCGAGATCGGAACTCTACCCGAGATCGGAACTCTACCCGAGATCGGAACTCTACATGAGATCGGAACTCTACCCGAGACCGGAACTTTTTTTAGAGTCCAGAACTTTTTTAGAGTCCGGAACATTTTCAGAGACCAAAACTTTTTCAGAGACAGGAACCTTCTCATAGACCGGATCTCTATCCGAGACCGGAACTTTTTCCGAGACCGGAACTTTACCT